ACACACACACACAAACAGTTTTCCTTGCACACACACACACACACACACACACACACACAATCAGTTTTAGGTATGCTTGTTTTTCCTCTTTCTCCTATTTTTTCTAAGTGTTTTTTGTGTCTCTAGCCGAGCATCCTCTAGCAGTGCCAAACAGTCTGTGGTTCCTCGTTTGGAGTGCTAACTGCACTCTTAGGGGGGCCACTCGGTTCAGGATGTCTGTGTTGCCTGTCGGTGATGACGGATGGTCGTCGGAGTGTCCCCCTGGCTCAGCGGGTGGTGGGAACCAACAGTCTGTGGGGTTCTATCGTGATGTGAGTAGGTCATGTGCTTCTTTGCCCCGTGTTGGATGTGTAGACTATCTTGTCTGCACTCTGCCGCGTTCTGGCTGCCCGTGCCGCTTGCTTTGCAGGTCGTCCTTGCTGCTCTGCTGCCTTGCCGCCTACCCGCGGGTCGTGCCTCCCGTGTCTTCTGCTCGTGTGCCTTGTGGTTTGGTAGCCTTGTGGCGTTGCCTCGCGCTTCGCTGCACGGTTGCTGAGCTGCTTGTCCGTGTGCCCAGTCGGCCTTCAGTGTCCTTTGCGTGCATGCCTTGTAGTTTGGTTGTCTTGTTGGTGATGCCTTGTGCTTCACTGCACGGTTGCCGAGCTGCTCGTCTGCTTGCCCTGTTGGCCTGCCGCGTCCTTTACTTGCTTGCGTGCCTTGTAGTCTGGTCGCCTTGCTGATGTTGCCTTGTGCTTCACCGCACGGTTGCCCAGTTGCTCGTCCGCTTGCCTTGTCGTTCCTTGCAGTCGTCTTTGGTGATAAGCAGTTGGGCTGCCTCTACTGTGTTGCCTGGTGCTCCACAGGGTTGCTGCCCGCTGCTATGTCCCGCTTGGGGACAGTCTGCCTTCAACATGGGTCAAAGGGTTCATGACCCAAACCATCAAATACGGGGATTTCGCAGATTGTCGAGGGTTCAGCCTCCTGATGAGTCGGTGCAATTCCGGCGAAACAATCTTGTCATCATCAATTTTTATTTTTTTCGATCTTTGAAACTTTTATGGACTTGTATTTTTTCTGATTTGCCTGCCTTGTGTGCTTGTTCCTGTCTGCCCTCCCGCCTCCTTGGTGTGTTTCTGTGTCGTCTTCCCTTCCACCTCCCCTGTGCCCTCCAGCCTTTGTACTTCGCTGTTGCTTGTCATCCCATGCCTTATCATGTCATGCCTTTTCATTGCTTACCTGGTGTCATTGCATGTCATCTGCCCTCCCACCTCCCCCATGCCCTCCATCCTATGTGGGGCTTAGTGAACTCGTTGTGGTTAGCCACAGATATATGAGGTAGCTTCAAAGAAGTAAAGTGACAGCAGTGGTTTGCCTGTTTAGTTTGTTTGCGTGTGGGCCAACATTTTAAGTTGGCTAGGTAGCATGGATGGGTGGCAGTTGAAACGGCACGTGATGGGCTATGGGTGGACCTGGTGTACCACTGAAAGAGTGGAGTTGCATGGCGGATTCACCGTGGGATCATTTTTGAACACACACATGGAGGGTACCTCCCTCTAGAAACTGCTGATGGGTTGATTCCTACAGCTGCACTTTGGAGCCACTTCAAACCCACGGTCTAGTGATGTAGTAAGTCCACCCGATCTTCTATGTGCTTGCCTGGTTACGCTATGAATCGACATACTGGACCTGCAGTAAGTCCGCTAAGAAAATCTGAATAAAGTTTATCGTTGAAACATAGTGGACCTGCAGTAAGTCCACCCGGTCTTCACCCGTTGAAAACACACACACACACACACACACACACACACACACACACACACACACACATACTTGCGCGGGGTTTGGAAACGTTTTTTTTTTTTTCATTTTTTTTTTTTTTTAACGCAATAGAAAACAACAATGCCCCATTTTAGCCCTACACGCCCATTTTGTTTTTTTGATGAGTTATAAAAATAAAGAAAAATGCTGCACCAAACTTGGCTGGTCGGCCGTGGCCAGACCCGACCGATTTGGTCGACGGCCGTGGCCGCGGCCGATTTTTCGGCCCCGACCGTGACCGGGCGTGCAACATAGGCGCAGATGTACAGTCTTTATCCCATTGCCAGATTGCCGCTTTCTTTAGCAACCTGTGCAAGGGACCCTTGCGGCGATAGTGGAGAAGTTCCTCACGAACTTCCTGTAATAATTAGCTAGGCCTAGGAACGACCGCAATTGAGTCAATGTGTGGGGCGTTGGCCACTCTCTAATTCCCGCTATCTTGTTGTCCTCAGGCTTAATGCCATCTCCGTCTAAAACGTGGGCGAAGTACAAAATTTGTGTCTTGGCCCACCTGCCTCAAACCCTGATGCTCTTGGAGGGTCCTGCTGAATACTAATATATCATATAAATAGACTACTACAAACTTATCTAACCACGGTCTAAATAGATCATTCATACAATGCTGAAATGTAGCTGGTGCGTTGGTTAGTCCAAAGGGCATCACTATAAACTCATAATGCCCATAACGAGTCCAGTCTTGTACTGGTCATCAGGATGGCCTTCTATCTGATGATACCCGGACTTCAAATCTATCTTTGAGAAATACTTACAACCCTGCACCCGATCTAGAAGATCGTCTTTCCTGGGCAGCGGCTCAGCGTTCTCCATAGTAATCGCATTCAGACCCCTATAGTCTATACACATGCGCAGCTCTCCTTCCTTTTTGGGGACAAACAAAACAGGTGCTCCAAAGGGAGACGAACTGGGTTTGATCCATCTGAAGGAGCTCGTCTTACTGCTTGTGCAGCTCCTCTAACCAGGGTTGTCGAGCCCCGGCCCCGGGGCCCCGGCGGGGGTCCCGGGGGCCGGGGGTCGGCACCCCTGGCCCCGACAGAAAAAGTAAAAAAATAAAAAAATAAAAAAAAATACAGGGGGGTGCGAAGCTGCAGCCTGCACCCCCTGGGCCAAACTGCAATATTGCAGTTTTGGCCAGACCTTGGCCCCCCCCCCCGGTCTACACCACACCCTCGTGAGCCCGGGGTAGTGCGGGCGCGGGGCCGGGGGTGGGGCCTAGCGGGGTG